TCTGGAGGGTATATAGATCCCCTTAAGAATCCTATTAGATTTGGATACATTAATATACCAACAGGTTTGTGAAATGCCATTTTGCATGTTTCCAAGTTCAAATGAAGATGAAATTAACATTTAAAATGTGCGATCTTATCTTTGGGTCCCAATGGTTTATTACATTCATTTTTATGACATCAAATCCACTGTTGTGGTACAATGAAAAGGAAATTGGACTAAGACTCAAGAAAACCTAGGTAGTTTTCTTTTGAACTGCTGCTCATTAAATATAACTAAAACTGTCCAGAAATGGATTGAGTTGCAAAAAGTGAGGTAGAGAATTTCTCGAACCAAGAGGTGTTCAGCAGCAGCTGTGTAGCGGGAATTCATGCATCAAGTAGGGGCTTGACCTTTAAGGTCTCTTCCAATTTCTGACTTCTGTAACTCATTTTCAAGGCCAATCCAAACAATTAACCTCACTGTGCCTCACTTTCCTTACTGTAAAACAGCAATGACACCTATCCACCTCAGAGGTATATTCTGAGGTTTACTGAGCTATTTATAAGACATGCAGGATACTTCATAAAAAGGGGCAATGCAAATAGCAAAGTTTATTATTATTTAAGGTGAAGACAGGGAAAATTTTAAACAGCTACTGGAAATAGCATGTTCTTTTTTTCTCCTCCATGTGCTCCACCTGTTCCCAGAGTGTACGTGCATACAAATCAGCACTTTTCTGTATCATATCTGACTATGCAGAGTAGATAGATGGCCAGAGAGTTTAGAATTTGAGCACTTTTGAACGTTATCTCTACATGCAGAGCCCAGATCAAACTCATGTGAAATAAACAGACTCCTTGCTTTCAAGCACTTTTCAAACCAAAGGTGCAGTTTCCAATTGCATTACTAGAGGTGGGAGTGGATGCAGGAGGCTCATGTTTTGTCTTTTTATTAAGAAAGATTTGAACTTACAGAAAAATGGCAAGAAAGGTACAATGAACTTCTGTACATCCTGCATCTAATTTCAGCAGTTGTCATCATTTGGACACATTTGCTTTAATGCGCTATGCTTCTCTCAATATAACAACAGCAACAACAAGTAGTAGTATTGTCGATTTGAAAGTAAGTGACAGACAGCATGACCATTTAACCTCTAAATACATTAGAGTATATTTCCTAAGAACAAGGACCTTCCTTTTTATAACCACACTACAGTTATCAAACACAGGAAACTTAACACGGGTACAGTTTTTAACATCTATATCAATATTAATGTCTATATAGATATATATGATATTCTAGTTTCCCTAATTGTCCCAATTGCAGTTTTTTTTTTAATCCAGGATCACTCACTGCATTTAGCTGTCAGGTCGTTTTAGTCTCCTTTGGTCTAAAACAGTCTGGCCTTCCCTTGTCTTTCATGACCTTGATATTTTTGAAGAGTCCATACCAGTTTTACTGTAGAATGTCTCTCTATTCGGTTTGTTTAGTTATCTCCTTTTCTGCATTTCATTTTTAAAGTGTCTCTCCTGCAATTGACTAGAAAATCCATCACCATTGCCAGGTTTGCACGTACCCTTACCATTCTCTGCAATTGGAGTCCCATCCTAGAAGCACTGGGTCACTCTGGCAGGGCTGGCATCCACACACAGGAGGGCCATTAGCAAAGTTAGGAATTGTGCCTACATCAATTTTCTTTCCCTGAAGTAACGACTTGTTTAAAGACAAGTTTTAACTTTTTACAATGAAGTGTAATGGATTGCTGGATTGCTGTAAAATGCAAATAAAAGGGAAAGCTTTCTCTAAATTTTGTCTCCTGTGGACTAAAAAGCCTTTCTAATTGTAAATTCTGTGATGTTTGCTAATGAAGGCAGCAAGGCTTCTTTTACACAAACAATTGCTTTGAAAGAGAAACGTAAACCTCCCTGTTTCTTGCTCTTTGTTCTTCCTACATCTTGGGTCTGTAACCTTTAAATCTGCTGATCTTCTCCTTTCCTGAGGCCAGTTCACCTGCATATGGACAAAAAGAGAAAACTAGGGCTTAGTAGTGAGTTTTTCTGAAAGGTAAATTTAGTCCAATTAAAAACTAATCTTTTGTACTGAGTTCTCCTTTCTCCTCTATTGGTATTAAAATAACTTTCTTTTGTGAAACAATTGTGAAAGCTCACAGTTAATTTTTTTGAGGAGGGAACCTGTTTATTAACAGCTTCATTTGCCAAATAAAGGCTGAATGTTTTATGCTGGTCCAAATTTTTAAAATTTTTTTCTCTATTTATCCAGATATTTATTTATATAGTTAGTTAGTCATTCAGCCAGTTAGTTAGTTGATCTTAAATCTCAAAGTCAGGAGGAGCCACTGATTTGATGAAAGAGCCCCAGCTTGGGGTGTCAGAGGTGGAACTAGCTTTAAACCCTGAATCTGCCACATGATAGCCTTACACAACCTTGAGCAAGTTGCTCCAGCCCCCGTCAGCCTCAGGTCATAGTTTATCAAATTAAGTAATAAGTGATGCCCCATGCGTAATACAAGATTAGATGGGATGAACTCCTGTGGGCTGTGCGGACCTTAAAGCAAGATGTGTTCATGTTATATTTCCAGCCCTTAACATGGATGGAACTTGGCATGGAGTGAACATCCAGAAAATGTTTTCCCGTAAAAATGAATGAATGAAGGGAGAGAATATATTCAACTTTAAATGCCATTAACATGCATCTAAGTCATCATGATAGGAAAATGAACTTCAAGATTGACATTCCATTTAGCAAAGAACAAAAGAGCAGTTCATTGCAGCATATGAAATGTACTCCTTAAATATTTTTCCCATTTTATTTAAAGGCCATGTTGATCTCCCTTGTGGTCATGCTCAAAAAAAAAAAAAAAAAAGGAAGCGATTGCAAAGCAGGAAGGTGATAGGAAAAAAACAAACAAACAAACAAACAATAAAAACAAGAGAGACTCACAAGCAGCCTGGAGTAAAGAAGAAAGGTGAATGGGTACCTCTTTCTACTCTTTACCTCTCTTATCAAATAATCCAAAGCTATATCTGGTCCTTCAAGCACCAACAATTTGTATTTGTAAGGTATGATGGTGACATGGAAAGACTGAGTGCTAGACTCACAAGCAATTTGAATCCATAGCTCCTCCTATCTTTGTAACCCTGAGTAAATTACTTAATTGCTCCAAGCCTTGGTTTTCTTACTTGAAATTATGAAGATAATAACCCTTGCTTCATAGGGTTATTGTTAGGATTAACAAATACACAAATCCACGTGCTCAGTTTTCTTCCATTAGGACTCATCAGTTGCTCAGGACAAGTGATTCTGGAAGTAAGAGGACAAGTGACTCACTGGTGCTTGGGAGCCTTCAGTCACATTGGTTGATTTGAAAAGTATCAAGAACCCAGGAAGTCTATCATTCTAACAATTTCTATTTTTATGTTAAAGAAATTAAAAAGGATAATGAGGGCTTCCCTGGTGTTGCAGTGGTTAAGAACCCACCTGCCAATGCAGGGGACACGGGTTCAAGCCCTAGTCCGGGAAGATCCCACATGCCGCGGAGCAACTAAGCCCGTGCACCACAACTACTGAGCCTGCGCTCTAGAGCCCGCACGCCTAGAGCCCGTGCTCTGCAACAAGAGAAGCCACCGCAATGAGAAGCCCGCGCACCACAATGAAGAGTAGCCCTCGCTCACCTCAACTAGAGAAAAGCCCACATGCAGCAACAAAGACCCAGTGTAGCCAAAAATAAAATAAATACAATTTTTTTAAAAAAGATAATGAGCACTAAATCTTGATATGGTTCTACAGCTCCTTCCTTCCTTGCCCTGGTCCACTTGACTCTGAAGAGTAGCTTACAAATTTACTGTACTTCAGGACCACACCTACCCAAGGTACAGAGGAATCTTATAACATCTTCGACACAAAAATGTAGCTTCTAGGGAAAACAAATAACTAAATAAATAAAACAAGAAAATTAAAAAAGTGCATCAAGTCCAGAGGTAGCTGGCATCCATGCTGTGTCTTGCACAGTGCGTGCCACAATTTCTATCTGAATAGTGACAAAGCTTAATATTTCCTATTGATTACCTGAAGCTGACACATCCTGAAGGCACAGACTGTGTAATAAAAAATATTCAATTTTCCAATGGTCATCCTTGAGTAAGAGCCAACATCATGCAGTGTAGCGAACACCAGTTAATATTAGGGGAAATAAGATGGAGGCTTCATATAGCTATTGGTCTTGCCCTGTTAAAGCACTTCTATTAAAAAAATGGTGCAGTTCGGTGGATTCATATTTGTGGTGAGTTAAACATTCTCCATCAAGTTAGTTGGCTGTATACACTTTCTTACAATTACCAATGGTGTATTTTTAAAGAATTTGTTTCTGCCCTTATTATCATAATCTTTTAAAATTCTATCGTCTTTTCTTTTAAATCAAGAAAGTATTTTCCCATACGATGTTCAATTATATTAGAAAGAAAATACAATAAGCCATTTATAAATAGCTTATATGGCAGGAACTGGAAGATTATATAGAACAGTCCAACCAATTAGCTGGTAAACAGTATGTTATATATAAAAACTTGCTGAAAGGTTTACAGAGGTTTATAACCCCAAGAAATTCTAGTGTTCTAAAGCGAATGGGTGTTATCCATTTCAAAAAGCATCTTTGGAAACTTCAAGCAACTTTTTGTTTACAAAAGTTTTACAGTATTGACTTGATTTGTTAAAGATATGTGGTGAAAGCTGGAGAGGACAGTTGCATTCTAAAAAATTCAGAATCCTCTTGGGAAAATTGTGCTTCCAGCCACACGTACCCACAAAAGGAAAATACAGTATAATCCATATAGAAAGAGGAATTTCATAGAAAGAGGAATGACAAATGAGAAGTCAATAATGTAACCTTTAGGTAGATGGCGTCTTGATACATTTTGGGAATTATATGAGTTTGCCTATAAATGGCAACAAACATACTTTGGACAGAACAGTTTGTTGCATGATTGAATGTCATTTTCTAGGTCTCATTCGTCTGCAAGAGCTCATCAAAGCTCCCTCCAGATATAACATTAAAATCAAAATCCGCCAGCTGCCCTCTGGGAATAAAGATGCCAAGCCTTTACTCAAGGAGATGAAGAAAGGCAAGGAGTTCTATGTGATATTTGATTGTTCACATGAAACAGCCGCTGAAATCCTTAAGCAGGTAAGAGGGGTAAGAAGGAGGTGAAAATATTGGGAGATGAGTTCGTTTGTCTTTCTCAGACATGCCATCTGCTTTCACTTAGTGCAGCATGATAAAATGCCAGCAGTCCACTTTAGGCTGAAGATTGCAGACTTCAGAACCCTTTTAAAGAGTCATAGGGCTCAGACCTCTTTGAAACCACCTGTTCGTATGTAGTTGTAGATGTGTGGTCCTGTGTACATATTCGGAGATATATAGATCCTGCCAGCAGAGATTGAGAGGAGAAGAGTATCATTTCAAGTTGATTAAGCATCTCCTCTTTTACGTCCTTTGAAAAAAACAAGCTAGATTTCATTTACACAATGCCTTACTTGTCCTAAATACATCTCCCTCATGGCAAGACCTCTTTTGTCAAACATGCAAGATTCCAAGCACAGTGAAAAAGGGGCATGGAGAGAGTCATGGAAAAGATGCTTCTCTCTTCTAATTTATTACAGACAATGAGCTGCCATGCATTAATCTCCATGGGTAATGTGGGTGGAAACAATAAATTGTGAAATCTTATATAAATGAAAGATCTTAATAACATTAAGAATGATAACAACAGTGTTAATACTTTCTGGGCACTTCAGGATATAGCACTGGTCTTATGTCTAAGAAAGAGAACTCAGAATCAAAATAAAAAATAGATGAAAAATAAATTTAAAAAAAGATTAAACCTAGACTCGTCGTTCTCAACCCAGAGTGATTTCACCCCCTTGGAAACTTCTGTCAATGTCCAGAGACATTTCTGGTTGTCATATTGGGGATGGTGGCACTTTACTGACAGCTAGCAATTAGAGGTGCTGCTAAACATCCTGTAAGACACAGGATCCCACCCCACCCCACAACAAAGAACTAAGTAGCCTAAAATGCCAATAGTCCTGAGGCTGAGAAACTCTAGCATAGACAGAGACAATGGGATAGGCAAGCCAGATGTTTAAAATAGAAGCGCTAATAAAAAATCAGGGGATTGAATTTTGGGGAAAGTAGGAAAGAAATAGCCAGGTTATATTTACTTGGCCTAATGGGTGCCTCTCTATATTTAAGTGGTTACTGTGGCATGAGGCAATGTTCTTACCTAAAATGGCACAAGGTGTTATTACACTCCCTAGTTTAAAATGTCTGGGGTGTACTGTTGGGTTGACTGGTAATGGGCACTAATTTCACAAGTAGACCAACCCCTCCATACAAATGCAGAACTGTGGGTTTCTGAGTCACTTAGAAGAGCTCTCTGGGCGCAGTCATCCAGCCTGACTCTCCAGTGCTATATCTCACACTGGAAGGGCATTTCTCAGAAGCCACTGAGTCATAGAACATATTTTAAATTGTGGTTGCAAACAATCGTAGACGTCATCAAGGCTAATCCTCTCACTCTATAGGAGATAAAATAACTTTCCCAGAGCGACACAGCCAGGAACAGGCACTGAGCCTCCTTTATCCCATCTGATGCTTTCTCCACAGTGACACGTTGCTTCTCCAGTTAGGCAGACTATTTGTTACTTACTTCTAGACTATAGTTGCATTAACAAGTCTTTAGCTGTTATGAGTACCTCTCAGTAAAGAAAGCAAGCATGCTGCAGTGATGTCAGCAACTAAAGAACTTGAAAGGTGAATAAATATCATCAGCTTCTCCTTATCTTAAGGCTTCATCTGAGAATTTAATACAGTCATTAAAGTGTGTAATGGAGTGTGGGCCAGAAATGAGGAAAACACCCAGATTTTATGCATAGCCTTCAGAATGCAAAGAAGTATCCCTTCCCAAGCGTCTTTCTTAACAGAATCTAGGGACTTCTGTTACATTTAAGAGAATGATTTGCTGATGAGGCTTCTCTTAGTTAGAAATCCACTCGGCTCACATAACTGGTCATATCTCTCCCAAAGGGCAGGCTTAGAATAGGCAAGGGAAGTGCCTGATGGCCATGGGCAGGGGCTGCTAGAGTTTCTCCTGTAGTTTGATAAATGTGGATATAAAATTCCTTTGATGTAAGTTGTTCTTTCCTTGTGGCATGGAGATTATATCATTCAAACGAAAATTAAAAATAATTAAAAAAGGCACAGAAAATCATCTAAGAGAAGCCCTCTCAAGAAATGTCTGGCAGGGGCAAAGAGAAGTAGGATTAGTTCCACTTTGCACAAGCCATTGGCACAAACATTTTTCTCCCTCCTGTCTTACTGTGTTTTATCTTGTGTTTGCTTTTCCTAATCACGTGAATGGTACGATTGGCTGTGAAGCTTGGGGGAAGTGACTCAAAGACTGTTCATCCTCTCTTTGTTCTAGACCCATGATCTGAAAAGATTGGGAGGGGTGGAGAACCTTTTTAAAAGCTTCCAGCATGAAACCCTTACCTTACTGCATGTGAAAGAACTGTTGCTCATTGTGAAATCACAGCAAAGGATCCAGGTTGGCTTAATGGGCTTCATTTGGACCTCCAAGAGGCTGTTATGGTTTGAAAAGTTATAATGAAGACCATAGGACTTTCTATTCTAGTCAAGATGAGACACTAGTACTCTGTGTGATTCCATTTTAACTTGTTCCATTAGTCCTGGACAACAACATGTAGAAACTCTTTCAGAGACCTTTCCTGAATCTGTCTGCGGAGTGTCTCTAGGGAGTCTGAGGGTTCAGGAGTTCAGGGTCCTGATGCCAGCCACTGCTCAACCACCCTTTCTCCTGAGGGAAAGAAAGGAAGGAAAGAGACTTATATCTTTTACTGAGGTACCAAAGATGGTGTCTCGCACCCTGTATGTCATCTCAGTTTATCCTGAAGTAAATTTGGTATTCTCACTTCAGAGTTGAGAAAACTGAAGCTCAGATAGGTTAAGTGCCTCATACAAGGTCATTCTCTGAATAGCCAGCCTGACCTATGATCTCAGATCCTGAATGCCTACTTTACCATAACGGGCCCCCATTTCATAATGGATAACCATTCTGAACTAGGCTTCCAGAAATGTCCGGGGAAAACACAACCACTTGCTGCTGGTCTTCTTTAGATGAAATTAGTATTAATAGCTTTTACTTTTTTGGTGACTAAAATCACTGCTGAGAAAATTTTCTCTGCCAGGCCAACGTATCTTTCTTCTCATGCACATTTCCCATTATTTCCGTGTACTTCCCTGCACCTTCATCATATTTTACTACTTTTTAATGATTCTTAAGAAAAAATAAATCAAATGCACTTTAAAGAAGATATTTGACATTTATCTAAAAGTAAAAATTGGGGAAAAGTCTATAATTATTCTTGGCCATGATAATCACTTCAGCAAAGTGATTATTTCTATTCATATTTAACAAGTACTATATGATGAGAATCTGAAAATTTATTTCCCCCAAATTAGTTAGAAATTCAAATGTCAAGACTTGATTAGGCTACAGGGGAGCACGGCTCTCATAACAAGAAATGGTCTTCGTGAATTTCTGCAGTCTGAGAGTGGCCCCAAAAACCAGCAGCCCACACATGGGACCCGTCAGGTCACTGCATGTCTTCTCTCCTCCCTGTCCATGCATCACCTCCCAGCAGGCATCCTGCTGCTTTTAGAGGATGCTGATCTCTCCTTAGCCTGTCTTTAATGTGGAAATCCCAGGTCCCCAGCCCCTCCTCACTCCTACACCCCCCACGTCCCTCTGTCTTCCCACTGATGGCTCACCATCCACCGCACTTGCACCTTCACTCTGAGTATGGTTCTCCCAAGGGAGTGGCTGATGGAAGATGAATTTAAGGCTGAGACACAGGGGAATTCCCTGGCAGTCCAGTGGTGAGGTCTCTGCGTTGCCACTGCAGGGGAACTAAGATCCTGCATGCCACGCAGTGCAGCCAAAGAAACAAAAACAAAACAAATAAAGGTGAGGCACAGGGTAGGAAGACTCTAGGTAGGGAATTCCTAACATGTGCCTAGTGCCATGCTGGGTGATAAGCAACCATCTCCTTTAATTGACATAATAATCATTGATATAATTAGTACTATCTTTTTTTTTTCTGGAAATGAAAATTGAAGCTCAGGGACAGCGTTAATTTTATCTACTGAGCATGATTTTAATGTGAAAATCTGTGGCCTGCATTATGTGACCCATCCGCCCCCTCCAGCCTCCCTGCCAGCCTCCAGCTTCCAATACACTATTTCAAGGGCACTCTGCCTGGTCATGTAACATGCCCTCCTTTCCCTACTTTATGGCCTTTGCACTTGCAGTTGCCAACACCTGGAACATTCTTTTCCAAAGTCTGCCTCACCTAAGCCTTCATGATTAACTCTTGGGAGATAAAGGAGAAGAAACTATTTTCTCATTGCTTATGACCTTGCAATCTACTTAGTTGCTCTGTAACCCTAATAAAAATCTATAATTAATTAAGGACATTGATTCATTTGTTATCTCTATCCCCTACTATACTGTAAACTCCAAGAGGATGGGAGCTCTCTTTGTCTTGTTCTCCCAAATCCCCAACATCTATTACATTATTTGACACACAACAAGTGACCAATACATCTATGTTGAATGAATAGATGAAATGAATGATCCAAGAACTGTGCTTAGAAGCTCTTAATCAGTAATCTCCCAAATCACCTTTCTTCCACTCTACTCAGTATGCTGAACTCTCAACTCTGCCAAGCACATTTGAACAAGTCACCCCTCTGTGCCTCAGTTTCCTCAAAAGGAAGGTTTCATTCAACCCTGAAATTCTGTATTATTAAGAACTGTAATGCATTTGAGCTAATGATTCTCCTTCCTGAAAATAAATTTGCCTCTTTGGAGAACTGCAGAGTCGTTTTCAAATCCTGTAATAGGATTGAGAAAGCAGGTCACTACTTCAAGCATAGTGAAACCTAATGGGTCTCTGATAGGGAGGGAAGGGATGCAGTGGTGCTTCATCTAGCAGGGAAGCTGTTTCAGGGCTGGGCCAATTCCCTGAGCTAGAAAGTGGCCAGTGGATGAGCATGAACATACTGTTTCTGACTTAGGAAAACTGCTGTCTTGTTTACATGAA